TGGGGCGAGAGCTCGGCTCTGCAAGCGGAGCAGACCGCTGGCGTGGGGGGCGCTGCGAGGATTCCCCCTTTGCCTCTCCTCCGACTGCGCCCTGGGCGCGCCGTCCGGTCCGGTCCGGTCCGATCCCTTCTCTTCCTTCCTTGCTCGCGCCGATCAAGGCTCCGGAGGAAAGACTTACGCTCCGGATGCCGTTTCCCGGTGGCTTGTGGTGGCTGCTGTGCTGCAGGCAGGGCTTCACCTTGCTCCGGCGGGACTATGGCGAGGCAGGCAAGGGGGTGGCCGACGAAGAGGAAGCCGAGGAGTCCTTCGAGTTGCGCAGCCAAGGCGACGAGGTGAGCGCTGCGCGGGCGGACGGGCGAAACCCGCCCGCTGGGTGCGCCTTCTCTTCGGGGGTGCCCCTTCTGTGGGAGCTGGAAGGCACGCTTCACGTTTATCCTTTATCCGGAGCTTTGGTGGTCATGAAGAAGTGTGTGTTGCCTTCACATGTCACCTCACTTCTCCCCACTCCTTGTTTGGGCTGGGGGGGGCAGACTTCTGTAAGTATTGGGGATAAACTTTTCTTGCTTCGATAGACTTGAAAAGAGAGGGGGGGGGGCTAATGCTTGGAAATTATCCCCGCGTGTTTGCACTTACTCGTGTTACTCAGTGATACAGCATGTAGGAATCCACTTGGAATATGCTCAGAGGCATTCTAGGTCGAGTCCTGGCTCAGATTAAAGTGTCGGGCTCAGCATTCTTTATTAGGATCCTAGCTGGAAGTATGGCATCCTTTATACATTCAGATTTATTTAAAATTCATTTCATTTTGGAGGGCACTCTTATGGTATTTGAGGGCAATCTAGCCTGTCGAATAGCTCCATTGTGACCCTACCTCCATTTTGATGTATAATTAACTAATCAGAGAACCATTGGGAAGGTGTGATGCCTCATCCCATTTCTAGGGATCTATTTTATGCAGAATAGGCCAAGCACAGGAGGGAATTGCTGGCAAGGTGAATGGAGGAGGGGGCATTTCCTTTATAATCGTTATATAATGGCATTGCCCATGAATTATGCAGGATCAGCTCTTGTCTTGGCTGTTTGGTTTCCTCTCACTCCTAGTCCCTTGCCTTTTAAGTGTGGGAGAGGAAGGTCAAGGAGAGTTGAGGCCAAGTTTGGCCAGCTTTAAGATGATGGAGATTCCTGTTGGTGGCTAAAGGTGCTTGCCCAAAAAAGCTTTCCAAGAGGTCATAAGGAATGCCTCTGGATTCCTACACACCCAGAGAGAGACAGAGACAGAGACAGAGACAGTAGATTTGTTCAGCCCTTTCAAGAAAAGAAGCCAAGTCAGCTGAGATGTGGGTGAAAGATGAATTTGCTGACTTCCTCTATCTACCTTCCTGTTCCTTTTGTAAAGGTAAATCTCCAGAAAGTAGATTCCAGTTGTCTTGGCTTATGGGAGGGTTTTGCGTGTGTGACAGGATGATGCAATATGCTTGTACCTTGGTTGAGTATCATAATCTGGCTAAAGTCCCTTTGATACCAGACAGGTTCAAGAAGGTGAGCTTCAGCTCCGATCAAGCTATAACTGTTGGCTGATACGTTCTGGTTGATACATTCAACTTTTCTAGGTTCTGTTGTTGGTACTGAACTTCTAGTGTTCCCTAAACAGCAGGGCTAGTGGGGTTTGTAGTCCAGATAAGTAACTTTTCCAGGCTGTGGGCTGATGCCACTTGATATTTCGGGTACTGGTGATGCCTGTACTAGGACAGAAAGAACTTGGCCCTGAAGGAAAGCTTCTCTTTGTTTGGCCCAGGACTTCGGATAATTTGTTAATGGCGTCAGTTCTTGGCACAGGCGAAAGGCCAAGCTACCCGCTTGGACAGAACTGGGCTGGCTGGCCAGCTGCAGATCTCCATGGCGCTTGAGAGAGTTGGCTGGATCTGTTGCAGAGATTGCGCATCTGTGTACGGATATGTGTGTCTACCCACACGCTCTTGCTGCTCAGGAGCATCTCTTTCATGCTTTTCCAGTCAGAAAGGCAGGTCCTGTCAAGAGAAACGGGATGCGACATGTTGAGGCAGTGCATTACCCTGGCTGGAAGGAACTGGTTTGGGGGTTCTTTACTTCTTCAGTAAGTGTGCTGTTAGATCTCTGCAGGAGTGGAAGGGCTAGTCTTGAATTGTAGGGAGGGAATCTCACATTCCACTGCCCAATGGGGTTGGTAGGCTTGAGTGGCCAGCACCTCTCAGCATTTGGCTGCAAGGGGTGTGTGTGATTCCTGTTGTCCCTGTAACCCACAAAGAGGGGTAGATTGTCTTGGTGCTTTCAGGGAGTGGGTGACTCTTGACTCTTGAACAGAAGTATGAGAAGGATGTACCATACACCCTGGAAAGCGACATTGGGTCAGGCGCTAAAACAAGGGTAGAGTTGGGAAAAGCTATCTTTGGGGCTTTGTCTGCCAGAAAATCTCAGTCTGTGAGGCTGATGGTTTTGCTGTCTGAGAGATTCTGGAGTTGTAAATAAAAAAAAAGGTATACATTGTTAGACACCTTAAGTATCTCTTTTTCATGACAGAAAGGTATTCATTAAATACATGGAAATACACCTGTGAATGCTATCTGATCACATAAGCCTAAATGTTTGTGTCTGTGCAAGAAAGTGTTGTAGTCTAGGACACTGGTTCTTAACATGGGCAATAACGCTCCCCAAGGGGCGATTTCATTTTTCAGGGGGGCGGTAGAACAAAAAGGGGCGGCGTGGGGGCGAAGGAACAAAAGGGGAGCGGTAGGGGTGCGCTGGAGCAAGCCAAACCTGTGAAGGCGGCTGCAGCCACGGTGCTGGCAGTGGATCCGGTGGTTTCAATTTTTTGTGTGCTCTTTGTGTATACTGTACTTTTTATGTAGATACATATATTTTGTCGCTCTGATTTTTTTTGTAAAAAATTTCTTAGTGTCTTTTTAACCATCTTTATAGTGTGCATGAATATATATTTTCCTCAAATCTTAATTTAATATCAGAGTGTTCGTCTTGAAGTTTTATTTCTTGCATTGTGGTTTGTTTTTATGCCCTTTTTATATTTCTTTTTGCATCTTAAAATTCACTTGTAATTAAATCATTAAATGTTAATGTTTTTTTTCCCGGCATTTCATTCTCTTGCAATTGAATTTATTTTCAGGGGTCCATTAATTTAATAAATAAACAAATAAATAAGTAAATAAAGGGGGGCAATGATGACTTCCTCCATGGCTCAAGGGGGCGTTTCTTTCAAAAAGGTTAAGAACCACTGGTCTAGAAAATCCCTTTGCCAAGTTCTGAATACTGACATGCTGATGTGGGCAGATTCCTGTTCCCCTATTGGTTAGAGGTGACTGAGGAATGTTGTTGTTGTTGTTGTTGTTTAGTCGTTTAGTCATGTCCAGCTCTTCATGACCCCATGGACCAGAGCATGCCAGGCCCTCCTGTCTTCCACTGCCTCCCGGAGTTGTGTCAAATTCATGTTGGTTGCTTCGATGACACTGTCCAACCATCTCGTCCTCTGTAGTCCCATTTTCTTCTTTCCTTCACACTTTCCTAACATCAGGGTCTTTTCCAGGGAGTCTTCTCTTCTCATGAGATGGCCAAAGTATTGGAGCCTCAGCCTCAGGAGCTGTCCTTCCAGTGAGCACTCAGGGTTGATTTCCTTTAGAATTGATAGGTTTGTTCTCCTTGCAGTCCAGGGGACTCTCGAGAGCACATATGTGTTCCAGTAGAATGTGACCAGCCAGACACAGGTGGGGAAGGAACAGATAAACATTCTGGGCTTGCATTGTAGAGAACAGCTGGCTCAGAGCATGCTGTGGAATATTGGGTCAGGCGCTAAAACAGAGAACAGCTGGCTCAGAGCATGCTGTGGTTCTCTTTCGGAGTCCATCATTCTGAATAGGCTTGCATCAAGGTGTTGCATAGTGTGAGGAAGCCTCCAGAAGTATACCAAGGGGCCATCCACATCATCCTGTTCAAGTAGTTTTAGGAAGCCCATGTGTGGGTGTGATCTCAGCAGGCTTTCCCTTCCTGCCCTTTCTACTCCCCCCACCAAAAAAACCCCTGATATTTAAAAGAAAATGATCATTAATTCTGGAAGTTCTGTGTAGTTATCCTGGCAGATACACATTTAAAAGGACCACTTTACAGTTCTATATGATAGTCTTCTATGACAGCCTTCTCTAATCTGCTGCTCTCCAAATGCCCATCTGTGATTGCTGATTGTGCGGTCAGGAGACGATGGCATTTGTAGTCCATCATATGTGGAAAGCCGGCATGATGGAAGAGGCCAGTCGGAGCCCTTGGTTACTAACTGTAGAAATATCAAGTGCAACGATTTCAGTCAAGAGCAACTTTTGGGTGTCTGTCCTCTGCTGACTAATTTCACAAGGTGACCCAATGTTTTAATATGTGTGGGGGTGCATGGGTCTTTTTCTCTGCAGTCCATTCTATACATTTCTCTCACGTCTCCTCAGTGGTTTTCCTTCTTCTAAACAGCATAATCCCAAATACTAAGAAGACATCCTAGCAGCTCACAGATAACCTTTGAACTCGTGCGTAAACCTGTTGGAACTGTCTTCCCCATGGGATCCTGTGCAGAGGCCGAGCTCTGTTAGGTGTGTGCTTGCCACTTCAAAGATACCTTGTCAAGCTGGAGAGACTAGATCCTGAAATTGGTCACCCGATATGCATCCAAAGCATGTGCTGTAGTGGCATCTGCGGCAGTCACCTTTGCACACTCTCCAGCGATTTAAGGAAAGCGATTCAGAAGCATAGGATGACCCATAGATGCTGTCTGGGCTCATACCCACAGAGAGAGCCCCATGTGTGACAGTAAAGAGGCAAAACTCAAAGAAAGAGAAGGTGGTTGTAATAACAGGGCTAGAGTTTAAGAATTTTTTTTAAAATTACATCTTCCAGATCCCCTTAACCAACATGGCTAGTGGCTGGTCTGGGGACATTTTGGGAGCTGTAATGGGAGTCAGGGGGAACCACTTTCTCAAGCTCTGAATAGAACCCCTTGTGGAGTGATTCTCAACCTTGGGTAACTCAGGTGTTCTTGGACTGCAATTCCCAGAAGCCTTCACCACCTGCTGTGCTGGCTGGGGTTTCTGGGAGTTGCAGTCCAAGAACACCTGGGCTATCCAAGGTTGGGAGCCACTGCCCTAGTGGTTAGTTGGATCAGAGAGGAAGAGCCTCAATTCAAGCCAGATTGCTTTTCTGGCGCCTTGTCAGCAGTAAGGGGCGTGGGCAGAAAGAGCTTGACATGGCAGTGTCATTTGCAGGTTTGGTAATGATGCCCCTGAGGGATCTCATCCTGATAGGATTA